TGGTATGTTTCATGCTGTTGGTATTGCTGCTGCTTCCTCGGGCTGTGTGGAATCTAACTGTAGCTCAATGTGGTATCAGTGACCCTCTTCCAGTAAATTACAAGTATTATCAGTCAGGAGACCTCATCATTGCTGGCATCATATCTCAAATCTACACATTTTCCAGCCCTATAACTTTTGAAAAACATCCCTCTCATGAACTCCTTGATGAAATTGTGTAAGGAATTGATTTCTTGATCATATCATTTTCCAGACGGTCTAGCTGTGTTAGTCTGTTGCAGCAAAAAAAAGAGAAAAGGGGGGGGGGGGCGACGACTCTTATTATAGCATAAGCTTTCATGGGTTAGAGTTTATTTATGATGAAATGCACTTAAGCACAAGAACATTTATGCCATAATACATTTGTTAGTTTTAGGTTTTAACCATTTTCTGCCCAGGTAAGATTCTTAGAATAAAGTCGGAGTAAAATTACTGGGATGCCATCGCTCTCTACATCTCAATGTGCATTGGTGGTAGTAGGTGGTGGTGGTGGTGTTATTGTGTAGTTCCGGTGCTTATATCCAAAGCATCATCCTCCAACTCTCATTCATTTTTAAGAGTGTTGATTAGGATGAATGATGCCTACATTTCAGTCGCTTTCTTAAGACAGACGTGGCTAAGCTATTGTCCTCTAGATGTTGCTGAACCTCAATTCCCATCTGAGGCAGGCCATGGTGGCCAACGGTCAGAGATGTTGGGAGTTGCAGTTCAGCAGCATCTGGAGGATGCTAGCCACCCCTGCACAGGCTGCTGTCACTAAGGCCCAGCCCGTGTGACGCGCTGGCTCTCAGGGGAAGGCAGAGGGCAGGAAGAAAGGGGAAGTGGAGCAGAGTGCAGGGCCGTCTTAACTGTTGGCACTAGGGGTACACGGCACCCGGGCGTCGGGTTCTTATGGGTGCCAGGCCTAGAGTCCGGGGCCAAGCGTAGGAGTCCGCTGACAGACAAGCAGAGCAGGGCCCATCGGAGTGCTGCGGGCTCTGATGTTGAGGGCAGCTCTTCCTCAGACTCCAATGTTCGCTGCCGGACTCGTGCCGAGCCGCCCGCAGCAGAAGAGCCCACGGTGCTCCAACGGGCTCTGCTCCACTCGGCTGTCAGCTCTTGCCGCAACTGCATGGCAGCTAACGGTTTCTGCGCCATGCCCGGAGCAGTGTGTAATGTTGTGGGCACTGCGCAACACATCCTGTTGCATGCACCAAACTGCGGGTTCTTTGCTGGCTTTTCCACTGTTGGCATGCTCCGACAACGGAAAACCCAGCAAAGGAACCTGCAACTTGGCGCAAGCAACAGAATGCGTCGTGCAGCACCCACAACGTTACATGGCACTACTGTGCGCACAGCCAAAACAGCCACCATGCAGTGGGGGGGGGGAGGCAGCGGGTGGACAGGGCGGCAACTGTGCCACCCGACATCCCCCCCCGGAACCCACAGCCACCTTCATACGCCCCTGTGCATGGGGCACTGGCACCCTCTCCCTAAAAAAAGGTCGAGAACTCTGGGCAACCTACGGGCGCCAGGTGGATCTTTGTACCTTGGCACCGCAGATGCTTAAGACGGCCCTGGCAGACTGCAAGGAGTATTTATTTTTTCAAAGGAAAAAAACCCTCAAAACCCCAGTGATTGCCCCTTTCTAAAATTTCTTTATTGGTGTGTTTTTTTTCTTTTTGGAAATCTACCAAAGGATGATGTGAAATGAAATCAGGATGGAGGGGTTTTCTCAGGACAGTGGAGAGGGTGTGGTCTGTGTCCCATTGGTGTGGTGGTGGTGCCACTTGCTTCTCCTGATAGAAAATACTCTGCGGGGGGGGGAGAGAAATGGGGGGGGTCAAGGAGGGTTAGTTGGGGGAGTGAGATATGTCCCCATTTTCATCTGAGGAATGTTGGAGGCTATGCACCTTTATTCCAATGTGTGAAAGACCACACAGCTCCCTCACCTGAAGATCTTGTTCACAAGGCAGTACACATCTCCCTTTCAGTTCTCTCCCCAAATCACTATGACTTAGATTACCTGCCCATCAAAGATCCATTTTCTAAGACATGCAAATTTGAAGCAGGGCGAATGTGTATGTGTGGATTCAAAATAGATTGGGGTAAAATTCAGAGATGCATATATTCTGAAGCAGAGATGCTCTGACACAGCATGAAAATCTGATTGCAGATATATGACTCAGACCTACCAGCACATCCTATCCTTCATATTTGCTGTAAATGAGATCAATGAAAATCTCTGGATCTTATCCAACCTCACCCTGGGCTTCCACATCTATAACAGCCATTTCACTGCAAGAGAGACCAGTCGGGCCTCAATGGAACTTCTCTCTACAAGGGGCAGATTCATCCCAAACTACAAGTGTGATGTGCATGATAATGCAGTAGCTTTCATTATGGGTCCCGATTCAAATGTGTGTCTCTACGTGGCAATGACTCTATATATCTACAAGATTTCGCAGGTAATGCGTCTCCATGGAACATAGTATTGCAATAAGCTAGCTATACTGCTCTTGCTCCTCAGGTAATATTTTGCTTTTCCTGTTTTATATTTATATCTACTCAGAGATATGAATGAAAAGGATAACCACAGACATTCCATGTCTAGGAAATGTCATTATAGAGGGCAGAGAGTTAACAGGGTTATGCAAAAACTCTTAACATTTCATATCTCTGGATTTTATTTTATTTTTTCTTATAGCTTGGATTTGGCTCTACTCTAGTAATAAATGACCAAATGCAAGAAGCGTTCTTCCAATGGATGTTTCCTGCTGAAGAGCATCAGGCTGCAGGAATCCTCCAGCTGCTGCTGTTTTTCAGGTGGATATGGATTGGGGTGGTTTTTATCACTGGTGACAATGGAGAGAGGTTTGTACAGACTGTGCGTCCTGAATTTTCCAAGAAAGGTATTTGCTTCGACTTTATCCAAAGTTTGCCAACACTGTATTTTACCACTGGTATGGAAGAAAAGGTGACCGAGTGGGTCAATACATTCAAACCTATTGTTTGTAGCACTGCCAACGTTGTGGTATTACAAGGTGAAATTTATACTATGGTATTCTTGAGAATGTTTCCATGGTTTCTGGAAATGGAGAATGTAACAATGAAGGCCAAAGTCTGGATAATGATGGCACAGATGGAATTCACATCCGTTTCCTTTCAAAGAGATTGGGAAATAGACATTATACATGGTGCTCTATCCATCGCAGTTCATTCAAAGGAGATTGTGGGATTCCAGAAATTTATTCAGGGGAGAAATCCTACCTCAGAGAAAGAAGATGCTTTTCTTAGGGTCTTTTGGGAAACAGCTTTTGACTGTTCTCTCCCTAAAACTGATACAGAAAGGGACGATAGAGACATCTGCAGCGGGAAAGAGCAGCTGGAGACTCTTCCTGCATCTCTCTTTGAAATGAGCCTGACTGGCCACAGCTACAGTGTGTACAATGCAGTCTTTGCTGTAGCACATGCACTGCAGGCCATGCATCCATCTAGATACAAAGGCAGAGTGATAGTGGATGGAAGAGTAAAACTTCAGAATCAAGAGTTATGGAAGGTAATGTCCTGAATACACTAAGAACAAAGGAAGGATCCTGCTGGCTCAGTCCAAGGCCTTCCTATAGCAGACAACCAGACAGCTTGGGGAAGTCTTCAAACAGGACATTCTGGCAATAGTCTTCTCCCACAGTTCTTCCCCATGATGCATTTCTTTCTGGAGAATGTCGATATCTGCCTTGAATATTAGCAATAGCTTTCCTGTTTCCCCCATGAATTTGCGCATGCTTTGCAACCCATGCACTCGTTCATATTCAAACACGGAACTATGGTGCTAGGAAGAGGTCAGCAGTTTCTAAATCAAGAGCCATGGCAGGCAAATGCCCAGATCCAGCAGCCCCAGAGAGAGGCCACTAAGGGCTGGGGCTCAAACGACGTTCTTCATAAAAAACAAACAAAAAAAAACTTTAATTGCTTTCACTTTAAAAACCATTTTAGACCCCATCACTAAGAAGAATCATACTGGACCTTCTAGGGGTTACCCTATATTTGTCTTATTTGGAACGAGGTCCTTGGAGTCTTGTTGGCATTTTCTGATGTTTGCATTTATTTACCATCCCGCAAACAACCTTGTGTTGCCCTTGCCTCTTGGATCTCTTTTCTTTTTTTAAAGCTTAAGAAAAGCATTTTCAGAACGGTTTTTATATTTGTATAGATTCCACCCTTGTGTTTACCTGACTTGTGCATGTTATTGATGGCAATAGATTGGTTGCAAAAATTATGACAATGATTGAAGGCTTAGGAAATTTTGCAACACTTTGAGAAGTACGCACAGTGCTTTTGAGTGGTATATAGTCTATTTGAAGCATCTTATATATCCATATTATTTGCCTTTTGTTGTTTCAATTTAGCTTCAGCACTACCTTAGGAGAGTCTCATTTAACAACAGTGCTGGAGAAAAGGTGTCCTTTAATCATAATGGGGATATCACTGCTGGATTTGATATTATTAATTGGGTGACATTTCCAAACCGCTCCTTTCTTCGAGCCAAAGTTGGAAAGATAGATCCCTTAGCTCCTGAAGACAAAATCCTGAGCATTTCTGTGGAAGACATTGCATGGCCAACTGCATTTAAACAGGTATTGTAATTACCTGTACATTGTTATTAGATCACTTATGCTTGTGTATAGTGTTATTTTTATTAATGTTTAATTGTTTTTATGACCTCCCCCAAGCCTGTTTTTAGCTGTTCCTGTTTCATCTGTAAGCAGCCCTTAGTCCATGTGAGGGGGAAAGGCAGGGTATAAATAAATATATAAGAATAATGATAAAATAATAATTGCCCATCCATCGTTTTGGTAGCACAAATCCTTTTGATAGGAGAACTGGAGAAATATAACTTGTGATGCATGGAATGTGAGCAACCAGACAATGGGTTGAGTGTCACCCAATCAGGAGAGACAGTAGGGAATTTGAAGTTAGAACTTGACAGTTAAATGGTCAAATAGGGCCTGTCTGACAGTTAGTGGAGATAGGATTGCTTTAGGGCTTGGAAAGTACCTAGAAAGGGCTTGGATAGAGCCTGCTTAGATGCTAGATAGGTTAAAACTGTCATATAGTAGGTCTGAATTAGGAGTTAGCTAGACATGGCAATCCAGTTTGTTTTCCCAGAGGGGAAAATGAAGATCCTAGATGGGGCTGGAAGTGTTTTACTCGAAGTGTAAGACCAAAGGCCATTCTAGAAGAAATCAGTCTATTCTGAGGCATGTTTAAAGTTAGAATTGTAAGAACCTTTCAGCTATCTCTGTATGGTGTGCTTATTTCATACAAAGTATTGTGCCTTGTCAGAGTAGATATCAAGCTACAGCCCTCATCAAATGAACATAAATAAAATTCTAATTTTGATCCCAAAAGTGCCTCATCCTTACATTGACCCACTGGGCAGGGGATAAGTGGCCACAGGTTCTCCTTTCACATAAGTGCAATACTTTACTGCTGGTTATAAAGAATTACCTTGCTCCTATATTTATTGCAAAGATCGTCATATAACTCCCTTCTCCTCCCCAAAATTTGAATGCATAATAATAATTAGTAATAATAATAATAATAATAATAATAATAATAATAATTTATTATTTATACCCCACCCATCTGGCTGGGTTTCCCACTCTGGGCGGCTACCAGCAAAATATTCGAATACCATAATTCATCAAATATTAAAAGCTGCCTTCAGATGTCTTCTAAAAGTCAGATATTTGTTTATTTCTTTGACATCTGGTGGGAGGGCGTTCCACAGGGTGGGTGCCACTACTGAGACCTCTGCCTGGTTTCCTGTAACTTCGCTTCTCACAGTGAAGGAACCGCCAGAAGGCCCTTGGAGCTGGAAGCTGGATCTCAGTGTTTAAACACCCACTAATTTCATTTATGCAAAGGTACAGCCGCTTTCTGTGTGCAATGACGTTTGCCATCCAGGTTACAGCAAGAGCAAGAAGGAAGAAAAACCTTTCTGCTGCTATGATTGTCTTCCATGTCCAGAAGGGAGGATTTCTAACTTAAGAGGTAAATACATTTTATTCATAGCATTTTCCTCAGGTTATAAACTGCTATCAATCACTTGTTCAACACAGTTTATAGACAAGAATTTACTTCATATTTAAATGTTCCAAATTTAGTGTGGGTGGTGATACCCACAGCATTTCTTTGTTGTTTAGCATAGTGTTCAGCTTCTCAGAAGAAAAGGAAAGGAAAGGAAATTTAGAAATAAACAGGATTTGAGCATACCAGGACAGAAAGAATATGTAGTTCACAATAACTCTTGCTTTGTGATGTTCCAGGAATTAAAATACCATCAGTGAGGGGATCTGCTATGCGCATAGTCATGCAAAAGTAACTGAGATTGTGTACACTGGTTTTGAGCTAGGTGTCACCATACACGGTTTTTTAAATTCACTCAGCTGTATTGAATTCAGTAATGTACTGTACGTAGAAGTACATCCATGTATAAAACAAAATTTGTTTCCTTTTTTAGATGCAGAATACTGCACTCAATGTCCAGAAGATCATTATGCAAACAAAGAACAAGATTTGTGTGTTCCAAAGAAGATCAGCTTCTTGTCATACAAAGAACCGTTGGGGATAATCTTAGCTAATTTCTCTCTTTCCTTTTGTTTTATCACAGCTTTGGTGCATGGGATATTCATTAAGCACAAGGACACTCCCATAGTCAAAGCCAACAACCGGAACATCACCTACACTCTCCTCATCTCCCTCTTGCTCTCCTTTGTTTCTGCTTTCTTGTTTATTGGCCAGCCGCATAAAGTTATGTGTCTCTTTCAACAAGCTGCTTTTATCATGATATTCTCTGTGGCAGTTTCTTGTATTTTGGCCAAAACGACTACAGTCATTTTAGCTTTCATGGCCACCAAGCCAGGGTCCAGTATGAGGAGATGGATGGGAAAAAGACTGGATATTTCTGTTGTTGTTTCCTGCTCCCTAGTTCAAGCTATTCTTTGTACTCTATGGCTGGCAATCTCTCCCCCTTTCCCTGATTTAGATGCACATACAATGGCTGAAGAGATTGTTCTGGAATGTAATGAAGGATCGGCCATCATGTTTTACTCTGTCCTGGGCTATATGGGCTTCCTGGCCAGTATCAGCTTCACTGTGGCCTTCTTAGCCAGAAAGTTGCCTGACAGTTTCAATGAAGCCAAGTTCATCACCTTCAGCATGGTGATGTTTTGCAGTGTGTGGCTGGCATTTGTCCCAACCTACCTGAGCACAAAGGGAAATACATGGTGGCTGTGGAGATCTTCTCCATCTTGGCCTCTGGCGCTGGGTTACTGGGCTGCATCTTTGCCCCTAAATGCTATATCATTTTGATTAAACCTGAGTTGAACAACAGGGGGCAGCTAATGAGAGGAAAGTACAAATCACAAATTGGAAAGTCCCAATCTAGTTGAAGTTGGATTGAATGAGTGCCAACAAACTCAAGCTCATTCCAGATGAGACTGAGGGACCTTTGGTGGGCAGTTCCCTAGACTGTATGGATGGGACGTTGCCTGCTCTTGATGTGGTTACACTCCTTCTGAAGGAGTGGGTAAATAGGTGGGGGTTACTTCTTGATCCTTTGCTCTTGCTTGAGGCACAGGTGGCCTTCGTGGCATGGAGTGCCTTTTATCAGCTTCAGCTGGTGGCCCAGCGCTGCCGCTTTCTGAACAGGGGAAACCTAACTTGTGTTGTCTATGCTGTGGTAACGTCTAGGTTAGATTACAGCAACATGTTATACTTGGAGTTGTTTCTGAAGATCCTTTGGAAATTTCAGCTGGTGCAGCATTTGGAGGCCAGATTGCTCATTTTTTATAATGTTTTATGGATTTTTTTAAATTGTTATGTCCTATTCTGCATTTTCGTTTCTTATTAAATGTGGCTTATAAATTTGTAAACAAATATAAAAAAAGACCATTAAGAACCTTCGTTTATTCAGCTACCTGAATAAAGCAACCTTCTTTTATTCATACATAGAGGCATACATAAGATTTGCATTGAAACTGTATAAAGTGCCAAGGTGCAGAGTGTTCCTTCTCTCCTGGGCCAGTTGTTGTTCAATGTCTCTATTAGCAACTTGGACAAAGGAATTGAGAGGATGCTCATCAAATCTGCAGATGACACCAAACTGGGATTGGTAGCTAATGCTGCAGAAGACAGAATCAGGATTCAAAATGATCTTAGCAGATGGGAGAACTGGGCGCAAGCTAGCTAACAAAATGAATTTCAATAGGGACAAATGTAAGGTTCTGCACTTAGGCAAGAAAACCAGATGCACAAATCTAAGACGGGGAACACCTGGCTTGCATGTGAATAGGATCTACGGGTCTTGGTGGACCAAAAGCTTAACATGAATCAAAAGTGTGATGCAGCAGCAAAAAAGCTAATGCTATTCTAGGATGATTCAACAAAAGTCTAGTGTCCTGATCAAGGGAAGTCACAGTACTATTCTATTCAGCCTTGGTAAGACCACACCTGTTATATTGTGTCCACTACTGGGCACCCCAGTTTAAGAAGAATATTGACAAGCTGGAATGTGTGCAGAAGAGGGCGACCAAGAGATCATGGGTTTGGAAACCAAACCATATGAGGAGCGGTTGAGGGAGTTGAATATATTTAGCCTGGAAAAAGAGGAGACTGAGAGGAGATCATAGTAGTCAACTCCGAGGGCCAAGGGGTCTTTGCCTCCCCCCCCCCATAAAATATTTGAGGGGGCTGGGCTCACCATGTTGATGGGCATTGCCATTCAAATGGTGTCCATGCACCCCATCATGGGATTGACTATGCAGAGCAGGGCTCATTCTCCCTCCAATGTTTTATTCAAGTTGGCACCTCTGGAGGAGATGTGATTTTTAAATGGGTGTCACATGGAAGATGGAAAAAACTTGCTTTCTCCTGCTCTTGAAGTTAGGGCCTGAACCAATGGCTTCAAGTTACAAGAAAGAAGATTCCAACAAAACATCAGGAAGAACTTTCTGGCAGTTAAAATTGGCTGATTGTGGACCAGACTCCCTCATGAGATTGTGGACTCCCCTTGATGTAGAATTGAGTTTAGACACTAGGAGAGGATATATTGTTTATAATAATAATAATAATAATTTATTATTTGTACCCGGCTCATCTTGACTTTTTTTAAAAACAAACAAACAAACAGTGAAACATCAAACATTAAAAACATCATGAAACAGGGTGCCTTCACATGTCTACAGAAAATTGTATAATTGTTTATCTCTTTGACATCTGATGGGAAGGAATTCCACAGGGCGGGTGCCACTACCGAGAAGGCTCTCAGAACTGGACCTCAGTGTCTGAGCTGAATGATGGGGGTGGAGACGCTCCTTCAGGTATACAGGGTTTTAAAGGTGAACACCAACACTTTGCATTGTGTTTGGAATTGCACTGGGAGCCAATGAAGATATGTCGCTGGCAGTCTGTTTTGGAGACACAATGCAGTGGCTCCTGAGAGCTGCATCTTTTAACTTCTCTAGCTGTAGCCTTGATTCTCATTTGGGAGTAAAACAAGTAGTTTGATTCATTGCCTTTGGCATTTCTGGCTGGCGACATTGTTTGTGCATGTACTCTCCCACTGAGCTAGTCCCCTCCCATTAAATATCTTACTATTACACATAATTTGCTTTCACACTGCAGAGGATCAGAGAAAAGGATTGATGGAAGTGCAATCAACCTGTTTTCTTTTGCAATGTTGCTGAGAACCACTAATTCTGAATAAGTGACTATCTCCCCTGGAAGTATCCAAATTGTCCATGATTACTACTTCTCCAGATCCCAAGGGAGCTTCAGTAACCACTAAGAAAACCATGACTTGAGAAAAACAGATTCTATTAAGGTCAACTGTAAATTCAGTTCAGTGTTCAAAGACAGGCAGGGTTAAACAGCCCTCCAATACTTTACATAATACTGGGTTTGAATAAGTCCGTTGAGCGGCCTTTCAATTCAGGCTCTGCTACTCAGGGATATTTTAATGACAATGCTGCTGCTTTAAATGCATAGTAGAGATGCTCCTCATAATCATATGTTTAAATACAGCCTCACTGTTCAAGCCACACCTGTTTTTTTGCTACATTAGTACATTAGAGCTTTTTTATTAGGGCTTTTTTTCAGCCAGAACTCAATGGAACTCAGTTCCAGCACCTCTCAGGTGGGCGCCAATGCCGTTCTAGAAAAATAGCACTGCTACTGAGTAATTATCAAATTCACCGTGATAACTTTGTCTTCTTCTCTGAGTCCCAAGGGAGTTCCATTAGCCACAGCAAAAACAAAGGCCCAAGACTGATGGGTGCTATTAAAATCCCCTGTAGCATCCAAAGCAGGTGCTTAAGACAGGCAGGTGTTGGTCACTCTGACTGCTGATACTCTGCAGTGTAGAGTCTTGGCTGTGAATAAGTCAAAAGAGTGACCATTCAGTGCTGGTCAGGGAACATGAGAATAAGTGCTAAGACAGATGTGTGTTCAAGATGGTATGTTTCATGCTGTTGGTATTGCTGCTGCTTCCTCGGGCTGTGTGGAATCTAACTGTAGCTCAATGTGCTATCAGTGACCCTCTTCCAGTAAATCACAAGTATTATCAGTCAGGAGACCTCATCATTGCTGGCATCATATCTCAGATCTACACATTTTCCAGCCCTATAACTTTTGAAAAACATCCCTCTCACGAACTCCTTGATGACATTGTGTAAGGAATTGATTTCTTGATCATATCATTTTCCATACGGTCTAGCTGTGTTAGTTTGTTGCAGCAAAAAAAAAGAGAGAAAAGGCGGCGGCGGGGGGGACGACGACTCTTATTACAGCATAAGCTTTCATGGGTTAGAGTTTACTAATGATGAAATGCACTTAAGCACAAGAACATTTATGCCATAATACATTTGTTAGTTTTAGGTTTTAACCATTATCTGCCCAGGTAAGATTCTTAGAATAAACTCGGAGTAAAATTACTTGGATGTCATCGCTCTCTACATCTCAATGTGCATTCGTGGTAATGGGTGGTGGTGGTGTTATTGTCTAGTTCCGGTGCTTATATCCAAAGCATCTTCCTCCAACTCTCATTCATTTTTAAGAGTGTTGATTAGGATGAATGATGCCTACATTTCAGTCGCTTTCTTAAGACAGACATGGCTAAGCTATTGTCCTCTAGATGTTGCTGAACTTCAATTCCCATTTGACGCAGGCCATGGTGGCCAACGGTCAGAGATGTTGGGAGTTGCAGTTCGGCAGCATCTGAAGGATGCTAGCCAGCTCTGCACAGTTTAGATTTGTGGATAGATTTTGAGATCTATTCATGTATATATTTATGGATATTGCAATAATAATAGCAGCAACCACTGCCAAACTTGGGGAGGAGGATGAGCCATGTGCTGACAGCGGAAAACCCAGCAAAGAAACCCGCAGCTTGGCGCAAGCAACAGGATTCGTCGCACAAATCCTGGGGTTCTCTCCATAAAAAAAGGTCGACAACTCTGGGCAACATAGGGGCAGGGGTGCCGGATGGATCTTTGCACCCTGGCACCGCATATGCTTAAGACGGCCCTGGCAGACTGCAAGGAGTATTGGTTTTAAACGAAAACCACCCAATGCTTGCCCCTTTCTAAAATTTCTTCATTGGGGTGTGTTTTTTCTTTTTATAAATCTACCAAAGAATGAAATGAAATGAAATCAGGATGGAGGGGTTTTCTCAGGACAGTGGAGAGGGTGTGTGCTGTGTCCCATTGGTGTGGTGGTGGTGTCACTTGCTTCTTCTGATAGAAAATACTCTGCGGAGGGGGGGAGAGAAATGGGGAGGTCAAGGAGGGTTAGTTGGGGGAGTGAGATATGTCCCCATTTTCATCTGAGGAATGTTGGAGGGTATGCACCTTTATTCCAATGTGTGAAAGACCACACAGCTCCCTCACCTGAATATCTTGTTCACAAGGCAGTACACATCTCCCTTTCAGACCTCTCTCCAAATCACTATGACTTAGATTACCTGCCCATCAAAGATCCATTTTCTAAGATATGCAAATTCCTCCAATCAATTTTGTCACCCCACCCTGTGAGAGCAGATCAGTGTAACAGGCTTTACTAGAATAATATTAGCAGAAGAGACGTGCAGATCCATAAATGAAAGTGGATATCACTGCAGATGTGAAGCAGGGCAAATGTGTATGTGTGGATTCAAAATAGAGTAGGGTAAAATTCAGAGATGCGCATATTCTGAAGCAGAGATGCTCTGACACAGCATGAAAATCTGATTGCAGATATATGACTCAGACCTACCAGCACATCCTGTCCTTCATATTTGCTGTAAATGAGATCAATGAAAATCTCTGGATCTTATCCAACCTCACCCTGGGCTTCCACATCTATAACAGCCATTTCACTGCACGAGAGACCAGTCGGGCCTCAATGGAACTTCTCTCCACAAGGGGCAGATTCATCCCAAACTACAAGTGTGATGTGCATGATATTGCAGTAGCTTTCATTGTGGGTCCTAATTCAAATGTGTGTCTCTTCGTGGCAATGACTCTATATATCTACAAGATTTCGCAGGTAATGTGTATCCATGGAACATAGGATTGAAACAAACCAGTTATACTACCCTTTCTTTCTCCTCTGATAAAATTTTGCTCTTCATATTTTATATTTATGAATGAAAAGGATGGCATCAGACTTTCCATGTCTAGGAAATGTCATTATAGAGGGTGAAGAGTAAACAGGATTTTGGAAATAACTCTTAACATTTCATATCTCTGGATTTTATTTTATTTTTCATATAGTTTGGATATGGCTCTGCTCCAATAATA